ACATACACCCTCCTGCTCCTCAGCCTCTGGACACAGCCAACCCACTGGCCTCAGTCCCAGAGGAGCATGGACAAGAAACAGTCTGCTTGGATTCCCCATCTGAGGGTGAGGATGCCCCCTCCCCTTGTCTGGAAAAGTGCCATCCCCTCAATTCAGTCAGTCTCCTAACTGGGGAAATACCTTGGCTGCGATCGCTGTGGTAATTCATTCAGCTCATACGAGCCCCAGATCTCCAGGCTGCTTGATATCAGGCCACTCTTCAGCCTCGACCTTGGCACGTGCAGAACCACCATATCCTCGGAAGAGGTCCTATAAGACTCTGGACCAGCCTCCGTATCACACAGATGTGCATCGGTCCATTGATTCCAGACACCTATGGTTCCGGACCCTATTTACTGGCACCAAGGCCTCAAACAGGTTTGTCTCTATGACCACCCAACTTATCATGTCCCTGAAGTCTATTATGAACAAGGGCCTGCCCATCAATATACCACTATGAGTATGAGCCCAAATGTCCACACCATCTGGACCTCACTCAACAGCAATATGCCTACTATTACCATTCCGAATTCTCCTTGGTGTCACTATCACCACCTCAATACTGAAGTCAGCCATAGCCTCCTCCAGATAAATCTTCAGAGGAAGACTGGCACTTTGTTCCACCAGCACCAACATCGCAGGAGGCCACTTCCTTCAGATTGGGATGGCTACCACCCTCCTTCGATGCCGAAGCGATCATATGCAGCTTTGACCTCAGCACGAGCCCTTCAACCCCAAACTGCAGACCTTCCACAGGGTCACTTTGGGCAGCATTGTCCTGTTACTCCAGCAGGGCAACTGGTTTGCCATCATCGACTTGAATATGCTTATTTTCACATAACTGTCCGCCCAGACCACTGCAAATACCCTCAGGTTTGCACTCCAAGACAATGCATATGAATTCAAGGCTTATCCATATTCCAGGAGTCTTTACAAAATGCCTTGCACCAGTAGCAACAAAGCTCTGACACTGTGGCATCACCATTTCCCCTTATTTGGACAACTGGCTCACCTTCACATAAGAGACAAGGTCTTTGAAATGAACTTACATTGTCCATCACCTTTTTAGTGAATCTGGGACTCCAGCTCTTTTTCACGAAATATGTTTTCAAACCCTCTCAGGTGGTCAGTTTTGTAGGAACAGCCCTCAACTTGCTCAGAGTCAGAGCCTTCCTCCTACAGGAGAGGCACACAAAGCTTCCTACCACCCTCCTTCCAACCGCAGGTGACTGCTACAGTTCATCTGACCCAGTGTCTGCTGGGCCTTGTGGCCTCTACCACTGCAGAGATCCAACATGCTCACCTAAGAATGCATTCTCTCCAGACAGGGTACTTTACCCTATTCAACCCCTTAATCAACCATCCCTCCAAGCTACTAAAAGTTACAGAAGAGTCGGGGCACTGCACACAACCTCTGCATTGGCAAGCCCATTCCAGACTCTCCATTTCACTATTCAAGTCACCACAGATGCCAGTCCAACTGGCTGTGGTGCCAATTGCAATTTCACCATCTGTGATTGGATTCTTTGTCTGTGGTAGGCGGGTCCTTCTTTTCAGTGGGAAAAATAGACGGAGACCAGGATAACCGTACAAATAATGGTTCTTTATTCTTTTTAACTCCTGTAACTTCAACGTTGAATGGATCTAAACAATTCTGTTCAGGCAATAACTTGTAACTTCTAACCTTATTCATGTCCATAGTCTTTGTCCCTTTCACTCCTTCATCCCAGACAGACTTGACTCGGCTTTGTTCCACGTTGGGAAACTCAAGGCTGCACATATCGTCCTGCAAAAGGGATGTTTCACGTAGTTCCCCTCTAGACAGGGTAGGTAGCTGGTGGTACCAATACAAGTCACCTACTTCCCTATATCCTGTGCCCATGGCACCGCTACCATACTCCATCTTCGTCTTTGTCTTGTCTTTCTCTATAGACTTGGGGGGTCAGGTAATAATCCTCCTCCTGTTCTAAGATTAGGAAACTCCAGCACTAATTCAACAGATTTGTACCTTTGTAATCCTTTTTCCTCCGTCTGATTACCCTTGTCTTCCTTTTCCTTTTCATCTCATTCTCCTCCTTCTCTCCCTCCTTCCTCCTCGTTTATCTCATCCCATCTCATTAAATCTAGCTCCTCCCATTTTCTATTCTGTATACCCTCTGCCAAGAATACCTCTCCAACCTTATTTGTCCCCATGTATCCTTCTTCTGTTTTGATCAATTCTCCTACTGCACATCCTTCTATCATATCTTCTCTGCTCTCCTCAGAGGATGGCACACTATGCTGATCTCCTTCACACCGTCATACACAGCCTGCGATCCCAGGCAGAAGCTCAACTTCATATCAACCATCTGGAACTTCTCACTGTCATAAAGGTGTTTTGTGCATTTGAAAAATTCCTAGCAGGATGTGATGTTCAATCGGCTACGACAATACTACGACCCTGTTTTACATCAACAAACAAGATGGAACACATTCATTACCGTTCCTTGACCTCACTGTCCAGTTGTGGGAATGATGTTACGCTTGCCACATCTACCCTGTAAGTGGTATACATCTCCACAGAAGACAATGCTCTGGTGGACCACCTCAACAGACTTCATACTTGTAGCCGTGAGTAGTTTCTGGGCGACAAAGTGTTTCACCTTCTATGCCACAAGTGGAGCAAGCCAAAAGTAGATGTTTTTGCCTTCCCCGTGAACGCAAAATGTGCCTGTTACTGCTCCAGGGCAGAAGTCAGAGCCAAGTCATTAGTGGATGCCTTTATAACTACATGGTCCTTGAGCATCCTGTATGTCTCTTTCCTCCCACACCACTCCCCCAGCACAAAATCACCAAGATTCAACAAGACCACTCCAGCGTTATCCTCATCACTGCCTCATGGCCATGACAGCCATAGTTCACAACCCTGAGATCCCTAGCATCCACATATCTCCATCTTCCAACATTACCATACCTTTTGAGGCTGGACCAGAGCCGGGTTTTCCACCCCAACCTCCACACTCTACATCTGACAGCCTGGATATTCCTTCAGAAGCTCAGGTTCTAGACCTGGCAAGAAAGCCTTCCATCACTCTGCTATATATTTGAAAATGAAACATTTTCTCTAAGTTTGCTGTATCCCACAACCTACCTGTTGCTCCAACAACTTTGGATGCCCACCTTGCTTTCGTCCTGCACCTCTTCAAACAAGGTCTCTCTCACTCTACCCTGAAGATACATATAGCTGTGATAGTGGTATTCCAGCCCTAGGATTCTGACTCTGCATTACTCTTTCAACAACCCATTCTTAAGAACTTCCTCAAGGGACTACAAAACATTCATCTGTCTCACCAGATACCACTCCCTCACTGGTCCCTTCAGGTCACCCTCCATTGACTCATGCACCTTCCATTTGAACTCTTAGCGACCCCTTTAGAGCGATATTTACGCATGAAAACTTACCTTTCTGGTTGCCATCACATTAGCTTGTAGAGCTATCAGGCTAGCTGCCCTCCGAGTGGATCCTCTCTTTCTGCAGTTTCACACTAATAAAGTAACTCTCTATCTGGATCCTACATTCCTCCCTAAGGTTGTGTTAAACTTTCATGTACGACACTCTGTTGTCCTTCCTACCTTCTTTCCTTCGCCATCCAATGACCTTGAACCTTGACCTACATTTCCTGGATGTTCATCGGGTGTTGGCCTTTTATGTTTCACAAATTTCTGCTTTCCAGAACATCAAGAGGCTCTTCTTTAGCTGTTACGGTTCATCTTGAGGTTCCCACATCTCTTCTCAGACAGTCTCCAGGTGAATTGTGTCCATAATACGCCTAGCCTACAAGCTCGTGTGTGAATTTTAATAGAGCCTTGTTTTAGCACACTCCACTAGGGCTATGGCGACTTCCACAGCCTTCCTCAGAGGAGTCGAATTAACAGACATCTGTAAGGCCACCAAATGGGCCACGCCATCTAACTTTGCCACCCATTATAGATTGGATGTTCACACCAGGAAAGACACTGCATTTGGTAGAGCTGTTCTGGCTTCCACTTCACTGTGAGTGGGTAACTCATGGTACGTCAACTTGCTAGTCACCCATGTGAGTGCATTCACAGAGACCACAAAGAAGAAAGAGAGGTTACTTGCCTGTAACTCTGATTCTTTGAGTGGTCCTCTGTGAATTCGCACTTCCCACCTCTCCTCCCCTGTCCGGGGGATAATTAGGACATCTCACTAATGAGGTGGTATATAAAGCAAACTAATTAACTAATAATAAATATGTTTGGTTTTTAATTCTGTATGTTTATATAAAGAATATAAAAGAGCATTTCTCCAAGCAAATTGATCTTAATGCATGAGTTGCACTACTTTGGGGGCTGTTTGCTAGGCATCAGACTTTTGGGACTGCAAAGCTCATAATGCTGCATTCTGGAAATACTCGCTAAGAGGCAGGCACTTTGCAGACTGAAACTCAATGTAGTCACTCAATTGGGAGAAGGGCTTCAACTGGAAGGCAGGGAGGCTGATGTAGCCACTCTTGCCCTACCCAATCTTCCTTGGCCAGCTGTGTGGCCAGCGGGGAGCCTGTCTTCCAGCAGACAGGAAAGTGGATGCTGAGGCTTAGCTGAGCCTGAGAGATTTGTAGCCGAGACCTTTTTCCTTGGTGAGCCACATTTAGGTGTCTGTCTGCAAGGCCAGTTGTCTGGAATGGAAAATTATGTCATTTGCAGTACAAAAATATATCAGAAAATCACATCCCCTAGTTTGCTGGGGAAAGGATTGTTACTCTGTAGATGATTGTGTGCGGATTATCTGTGTTCTCGCCCCCAAGAAGCACAAATTAGCACATTGAAAATCCTCAAGGGTGAACATCTTCATGAGTTTAAGGGCTCAACAGTTAAAAACAGAAAACTTAACAAATCATGTTTTGTTCACAGGCAGGCAGGCAAAATGAAGTTAAAGTCTCACGATTTTTCTGTTTCAGAATCCAGGCATTGATATTGGGGATGTTTCAGAGCGGAAAGCACTGAGGAAAAATCTGAGGTGTAAGAACTTTCAGTGGTACTTGGACCATGTCTACCCAGAAATGAGAAGATACAATAATACCCTTGCATATGGGGAGGTAATGCTAGACGGGAAATGCTAGTGCATGAGTGAAATATCAATTATTATTTTTAAATTAATTCTATTTATTTTCAAACAGTATAAATAATGGTTGTTCTGGGTTTTTCGGGCTCTTTGGCCATCTTCTGAAGGTTGTTCTTCCTGACGTTTTGCCAGTCTTTGTGGCCAGCATCTTCAGAGGACAGCAACCAGAGTACAGGTTGCTGTCCTCTGAAGATGCCGGCCACAGAGACTGGCGAAACATCAGGAAGAACAACCTTCAGAACATGGCCAAAGAGCTCGAAAAACCCAGAACAACCATTAGATCCCGGCCGTGAAAACCTTCGCTAAAGTATAAATAATATTTGTAAAAAAGAGGAAAAGGGAAAAAACAAAAACCAAAGACTAAAAAAAAAAATTGAAATAAAATACTTAAGGTACAGAGTTAACCAGACACTATATTTGCTATCATTACATTCTTTCATTCTTTTTTCTTTTTTCTTTATTGATCTGTTTATCATCAGTATATATATCATTACCTGTATATACATCTGAACTTTCTTTATCTCTTTTACGAGTCATTTTACATATTCTATATTTTATGTCTTTGCCTGGAGCCACACATAAAATAACTCCCATTTCTCATTTTGTGTCTCTTTGGTGTTTTGTTCTAAAATGTCTGAGAGTTTCTCTATTTCTACTATGCTCATTATTTTTTCCATTAATTCTTCTTTTAAATATCAATGAAATTTTGTGAGGATTCTTCACTTCAAGGGTTGAAGGCTAGCTGTAAAAAAAAAAAAGAGAGAGAGATTTCTTTAGCGTTCCTGTTTTCAGTCTGAGGCCTATGAGCAGGCATGACATACCTGAACTCCAGACTTAACCTGACCTAATGAACAAGCTTTCTTGAATCCACTTGATTTCTTGAAACCCGTAAGGAATGTTCCCTTGCAGTTACTTTCTCAAGAGAGCTTTCTCAAAGGTTCAGGGATGTCAGTATCCTGAGATTTTTAACATGCCCGGGGGGGGGGGGGAACTGTGGCTAAAACACATGGCAAATGCTGAGCTAGTTCCCTTTCTTTCCATATCCTCTTGTGTGGGGTCAAACAGAATGAAGTAAGCTACAGGGACAGGTAGAATGTAGAAAACACAATGTGGAACTCTTAAAAACTTTCCCAGGGACAAATATTTTTGTTTCGTTTCAGCTGCGCAACAGCAAAGTGAAAGACGTCTGCCTAGATCAAGGACCACAGGAAAACCACACCGCAATTCTGTATCCTTGCCATGGCTGGGGACCACAGGTTTGATCTCTCATGAATGAAAAGCCATGTTTTGTGTATCGCCTAATCCGGCACTGTAATGCCTTATGCAGGCTCAGGGAGTTTGAACGGTGACAGTGGCACCACTCTTCCCGTTCCATCTGCACTCAGGGATATAGAGTTTATGAGTTAAAATTGGCAATGCGTGCAAGAGCCACTAAAGGAGCAAAATACCCAAGTGAAGCGTTACATTCAGTTGATGATGGTGGTGATGATGACGACAATGGCAATAATAACGATCATCATCATCATGGTGCAATCCTTTTCAGGGTTTGCAGGACTACTCATAAGTAGCTGACCCTTCCCTTCTTCTGGGGATGCCCTGGGACTGTGCCACTTGCCCATGGCCATATAGGCTGGCTCTGCTCGCAGGAGGCCCAGTGGGGACTCGATCGCCCAACCCTCTGTGCCCACAGCCAGATACCTAGAGCACTGAACTCTCCAGCCACCACATTGAATTACATATTGTAAATATTAGACAGATGCAGGCAGATTTCAGATAGCTATTAGGAGACATTTTGGATAGTTGTTAGGACAAACAGTGAAAACTGTGGGATGTTTTGCTCACCCTCAGTGGAAATATTTAAACAAAAACTGAACAGCAGACAGTTACAGACCCACAAATAGCCATAATATTTAGCAATATCTTCCCTCTGATCACAGAAGAATTTGGTTCCAAATTCTGCCATTTCTGAAAACAAGCACAGCCAAAACTGTGCTCATGTCCTGGGGTTCAATCCCATGTAGCCGGCTCAAGGTTGACTCAGCCTTCTATCCTTCCGAGGTCGGTCGCTGGGGGGGGGGGCAATGTGTAGCCTGAATAATTAACTTGTAAACCGCTCAGAGAGTGCTTGAAGTGCTTGTGGGGCGGTATATAAGCAGTACACTTTGTTTTGCTTTTGTACAGTGCTCCTTCAATCATAGTTTTTACTTATCATACAATCCTAGAATAATGAAGTCGGAAAGGGCCTTGAAGGCCATCAAGTCCAATCCCCTGCTCAAGGCAGGAACCAACTCAAAGCAGATCGGACGGTGGTCCAACTTTCTCTTCCAGTCTTGGAGCGCTCACCATTAAAGATGGGCATGAATCAGAAAAATTGTGATTTGTTTAAATTTGTGATTTGTCAAGGTCAATGAATCACGAATAATGAATTTATGATTTTTTGATGAATTGATTCATCAATTCATTTTAGCTTTTAAAACCCTATAAAATGGCCCAACAGGCACCTAGAGACACTAAAATTGCAGAGATGATTTCCCTGACTACAATCTCTGCAAGTTTGGTAAAGATTGGGTTTCATGGCTTGTAGCGCTATGGGGCGGTATATAAGTCCAATAAATAAATAAATAAATAAATAAATATATCTGAGTTATACACCCACAAAGTGGGTCCCTCCAGGAAAGTGCTCTTTAGCAACAGGCTTGGGGGAAATCTGATCTTCACCAAACTTGGAAGGATTGTAGAGGAGAGTCAGTGGAAGCTTCCCTGTGATTTTCATATCTCTGGGTGCCTAGGGGGAACCTTTCAAGGGGGACCTCTTTGTGGATGTATCAGACATCCAAAATCCTTGTAGAGAAGAGTCAGGGGAAGCGTCTCTGTAATTTTGGTATCTCTAGATATCTGGCAGGCTGTTTTATAGCCCAATGAATCAACAAATCAAAATTTGCTAAACTTCATTGATTCATATTCATTGGGGGCATGAATTTGGACAAATATGTGTCAAACAATTAGTGATATTTGATGCATTTTGCAGTTTGCTTTTCAGTTCATGCCCATCTCCACTCACCCTCCCAAGGTCATCAGTTCCATTATCATACTCCTCTAACACTTAGGAGGCTTTTCCTGATACTTCCTGTAGCTTGAGGCCCTTATTAAGTGCCCTGCACTCTGGGATGATCGTGAACAGATCCTGCCCCTCTTCTTTATGACAACATTTCAACTTCATTCAGTCCCTCCTCCAAGGGTTTGGTTTCCGGTCCCCTGATCATCACCCTTGTTGCCCTCCTCTAAAGCTGCCCCAGTTTGTTGGCATCCTTCTTAAAGCGCATCCTGAATTGGACACAGGACTCAAGATGGATAGAGGGGGACCAGCACCTTGCAGGATTTGGAGACTATTCCATCTGTTAATGCTGCCTAAAATAGCATTGGCCTTTTTTGTAGCCACATTCCACTGTTGGCAAAAGACCACATTTATCTTTTTTTGCTGTCTTCTTGTTTTTTGTTGTTGGAATGGTTTGTAATTGTGCCTTTAATCATTTATTTTTTAAGAAACGCTCATCCAGTTTGGACTCCTTTTCTTCTTAGGCTCTCCTACCATAAGGACCTTACTTATCATTCTTCTGAGTTTATTAAAATTGTCTTGTTAAAATCCAGTGTGGCTACACTCTGTTTTTGTTTCTTTTGAAATCAAAGACTCAGGTAAAACATGGTCACTCGCAGCCAGAGTTCCCCTTGCTGCCGCTTCTTCCACTGAGTAATCGCTATTGGTTAAACTTGAGTCAAGGATAGCTAGTCCTCTAATTTATTTCTCCACTTTTTGTTGGACAAAATTACCAGCCACACAAGCCAGGAATTTCTTGGAAGGGCCAGACTTGGTAGAATTTGCCTCCCAACAGATATCATCATAATTGAACTTTCCCATAACTAAGAGTTTGAAATCCTTGAAATCCTTCTCCTTGAGTGGGTGGTAGACTCCACTATCTTGTTTCTTTCTTTTTTATACCCCAGTTGTAGTAATCCAGGTGTTCTTGATTCGCAACTAAGCTCATCCTCCTATATTTCTGTGTAGTAATATGTATTTCTCTTCTATTTGAACAGTTGCTGTGTCTCAGTCACGGGAGTAGTCCCGCCAAGTTTCCGTGTCATATTGACTCTCCTGAACTAAGATTTCCAGTTTTTCTTTGTTCTCATATGCCTATAGACGCCAGAGATTGTGTGGCCCGGTATCCTTCCTATATTTTAATGAAGACTGTTATTGCACCTGGTTATAGCCATTTACTCTGTTTCTCGTATTGTATATAAACCTTCCTCTGTGTTTACTTCTGGGTTTGTATCTCCCTCCCCTTCCAATTCATTTTAAGCCCTCCCAATGAAGGTGTTCACATTGTGGCCAAACATATTCTTCCCAGTCCTTGTGAGGTGCCCGCAGTCCATCTTCCAGGAAGCTTACCCCATGGTCCCAAAATCCAAATCATGTCAGCATCACCCTTGTAGCCAATCGTTCACATAGGATATTTTTCTATCCCCTTCTATTCCTCTTCTGAGTCCTGGTAGGCTCAGTGAGAAGACTATCTGGACCTCAAAGTCCTTGAGCTTATTTCCCAGTGCTTCAAAGTCTGATGTGATTTCTTCATAGTTTCTCTTGGCTGTGTCCTTTGTTCCAGTATCCAAAAAGAAAGGGATAGGTATCTGTGGATTTTATGAGTGATGGTAATCCTTCCGTCATATCCCTAACCCACCCTGCAGGTAGACAGCACACCTGGCAGCTCAATGGATCTTCTTGGCATATTTCATTTTCAGTCTCATGCCTTGGGGAGTCCCCTGGTACGAATGCTCTTCTCGTCTTTTTGTTCAGTGACTCTGCTCAGCTGAGCTTCAGTCTCTCTCTTGTCCTCCATGGGGGGGGGTCTCCTGTAGGTCTTCCCCTGCTAGACTCCTCTCCAAAACTCTGAAACTGTTTTTGTAATTCCACTGGTAAAGAGTTTCTTCTCTTTTCTTTTGCTCCTCACTGTGACTCTTTTCCACAGGGCTTCCTCCACTATGTCTCTTCTCTCCTCAGCATTCGTCTCCTCTCTTGCTTTTTCTTGCTGTTTCTGTCTTTCCCCTCCCAAACTCCTGTTAGCTCTCCCTGGTCACCGTCTCCTTCCTGATATTCAGAAAGTCAGTAAAGACAGAATTATATAAAACTGCTTTTAATAACTCATCCCCTAGATGCTGTTTATGTTAATTAATCTTGTGGTATCTTAAAGACTAACTGCTATGCTTTTTAATGTGAGTTTTTGTGTTCAAGCCACTTCCTCAGGCCTGTCCACAAAAATGCATGTTAAAATATGTTAATATTTAAGGCGCCACAATATTTTTGTCTTACTCATTTTTCATTTTTCTTCTGTTTTTGCCTGAGATGCTAGCACAGACTAACATGGCTACCTCTCCTAAAACTATTAGTTAATTGTTGTTTCTTTTCTTTTGCTCTCTTCCCTTTTTTGTGTATTCATTTTCGATCTAGCTTGATGAACTTCCATATTGATTGTATAGTTATAAGGGGTCGTTTAGGGTTTTGAGCTGCCCAGTTTCCACTAAAGGGGTGGTATATCAAACAAACAAACAAACAGACAAAGCAAGCAATTTTTAAAAAATTATCTAACATAATTTTATTACTGTGGGCTGTGGCGTTGTAGAAAGCAGTTTTTCTGTATTTGATCAGTACGCCCTCTAAGCACCGATGAGGTCTCCTTTTTTCGTGTTTCAGATGAAATGGACAGCAGCAACAGTTGACATTCCTCTTTCTCTCTCTCTCTCTTTGCCTCTCTTATACAGCTCACGCGTTACACTAAAGAAGGGTTTCTTCATTTGGGTGCTCTGGGAACCACAAGGCTCTTGCCGGATACTCGCTGCTTGGTGGATAACATGAAAAGCAAATCCCCTCAGCTCCTTGACTGTGACAAAGTTAAAAACAGCCTCCAAAAGCGCTGGAATTTTGTGCAGGTGTGCAGCTTCTCCTTTTGAAATACTGTAGAGAGGTGTGGGTTTGTTTTTTTTTATAATGTCAGAGCCCAAATGGCTGTTTGCAAGAACACAATGTGCTCATATGCTGTGTCCTCCTCCATCAATGTGAGATGGAGCATTGACTCACATGTTTTTAAACACAGGACTGCTGTCAAAAAATTAGAAAAGGAATTAATGGAAATCCAGAAAATCAATTATCTTGACGGTTCCAAAATAGGAACAATATTGGATGGCATTGAAGTGGAGGGCAAGAGGGTTACGTTTTAAAGAGTCATATAATTTAACAAAGAAAAAGATGGAAACAGCCAAAATGCTGAAAGATCTGTTAAGAGAATTAGAATCTATATATATTAAGGATGAAGATATAAAAGTCCTTTTAGAAACACAAGAAGTTGCAAGATACAGAGTTAGAAAGAACTGAAATATAATGTATTTGGAAGGGAATATTTGGAGTTGAGCAATAAGAATTAAAAAATGTTAGCCAGAGCCACCCAATCAAAAAAGTTTCTGAAAATATTACTAATAGGCGTGATTAAGGATGAGAATGGAACAAGGTGTAATTTAATGAAGGACAAAACAAATGTCTTCTAAAAATTATACTAACATTGTATGTTTTAATTGATAAGATAGATGCATATATTGGGGTTAAGTTGCAAAATGTGGATAGATAATTAATGGAGCAACCCGTTGAAGAAGAGGTAGAAGCAATTATTGATACAGTAATTTAAAGATAGGCATAACTCTGGGAATTGATGGATTGGGTCTAGAATGTTATAAGAGTTTTTTTAAAGATTAATACTGAAGCTTAATTTTTTTTCCTCATAAATTAATGGAAGGATAAGAAATTCCATCTTCCTGGGAGTATTCAGTGATTATTTTAATATTAAAATCTAACAAAGACACTATGGATGTGGATGCTGTTTCATTCATTAATTAACATGCTAAGATTTTTGACAGCATTACTGGCTAAAAGGATGAATAGTTTCATTGCTAATCAAAGACTGATCAAAATGGTTTTGTAAAAGGAAGGCAAATTGCGGACGTAACAAGAAGAGTATTGAATATAACTCATTTTATATCTGAAAATAAAAAGAATGGCATTAGATATTTTTAAAGTGTTTGATTCATTGAAATAGCAAATACTGTATTTAAAAAGTTAATAGAAAAGCTTAGATAAATTAGATGGGATTGAGAGATATGGTCCATTAATTATACTCTGAAAATTTCGCCACAGTACTAGTGAGTGATGGAGTAACTGAACAAATTTACCTAGGCCAAGGTACGTTGAAGGATGCCCTCATTCGCCAGTTCGGTTGGATTCAGTTAGACAACTCTTGGCAGATGCTGTTAGGGAAGACGATTTAACAATAGAGGTCCTACACTTATCCTATCTCTTCTATCACTATTACAAAATTCATTAATCATATTTTGCCAGGTTTTTTTTTCTGCTGCCCCTTATCAATACTGCTAACGTCTAAAATAAAAAGTTTATCTTAGGCAAAACTTTTCTTTTACACAACACAATTCAACCAAACCAAGAATCACCTAATCTTCCTTTATTGCTTTAGTGTATATTTCACGTCTAATATCAGTTTCTCAGAATTTCCTTTTTTAAAATCCTGTAGACTTTTTTGTAAGATACCTTTGATACTTTTCATTATCTTGATGTCTAATTTTTTTCTTTTATCAATGCTTTCTCCTCATTACTACAATTAAACACCACTGTGACCGCCTATACCCAGGCTAATCACATTTAAAATGTCTTTGCTTTTAATAGGCTTGCCTTCATCCTAAAAACATATGAGCCCAAGCGATTATAAAAATCAAACATCTAAGAAGATCTCTATTGTAACATAACTTATAAAACTAAACAGAGCTCAACTTAAGTTTACACTTAAATACACGCTAGCCCTCAAACCTTCCGCATTCTTCTTTTAGATACAAACCAACAATCCATTTACAGCCCTTTAAATCCAGCCTCCCTCCTCAAGATGTACTTTTTCTCTCTTGTTCACTCCCCTACCACAAGCTCTTCTCGGTGGTCTCCCTTCTTCCAGCTGATCACCTTATTCATATAGTTGCTGGGTTCATTGGTATTCATAGATTTCATAGAATCATCATAGGGGTGGAAGGGACCTTGGAGGTCTTCTAGTCGAACCTCCTGGGGCCCAAGGCAGGAGACCTGTCTTTTCTTGAAAACCTCCAGCAATGGGGTGCCCATAACATCGGTAGGCAAGCTGTTCCACTGCTTCATGGTTCTCACCATCAGGAAATTCCTCTTATTTTCAGGTTGGGTCTCCCTCTGCCAAGTTTCCACCCGTTGGTTCTTGTCCAGCCCTCGGGCACAATGGAGAATTAATCGATGCCGTCTTCCCTGTGGCAACTCTTCAGATCTTGGAAGACGGTTCTCATGTCTCCCTTCAGTCTTCTCCTTATTCAGCTAAACATACCTTGTTCATTTAGTCGTTCCTCATAGGATTTAGCTTCCACTTCTCTTATCATCTTGGTTGCTCTTCTCTGCAACCCCTTTCCAGGGCCTCAGCATCTCAGTAGTTCCATCACATCCCTTCCTTCTTTGCTCCATTGAGAACCCCTGCACACTTCTCCACAACAAGCGAAGAACCATGGATTATAAACACACATATATAATTCACAGTTCCTACATATTACAAAAAAACACATTTAATTCTTATACACCAGTTACCAAATATATTCTTATACCAATCACATCATATAAAGAATACATTACATTTAGTTAACTATACTACTGATGTTTCCATAATTAGCATTTCCCAGCATACTTTTATTTACATTCCTTACTTACCTTCATCTTAGATTTAATCCTCAGGTTGTCAGGACAAAGCATTATTAGCGTGTGATGTAGCTACAAAAATGGCAAATGCTACAAAAAAAGGCAATTGTTATTTTAGACTTCATTAGCAGACGTATAGTCTCCAAATCCAACAAGGTACTAGCTCCCCTCTATTTGGCACTGATCAGGCCTCATCTAGAGTCCTGTGTCCAGTTATGGACGCTGAACTTCAAGAAGGATGTGACGAACTAGAGCAAGTTCACAGGAGGGCAACCAGGATGATGATCAGGGGGCCGGAAACCAAGCCCTTTGAGGAAAGATTGAAAGAACTTGGCATTTTTAGTCTTGAGAAGAGATAGGGGAGGAGAGGAGAGGACTTTTCAATGACTTGAAAGGCTGTCATTTGGAGATCTCTTCTCGATCCTCCCAGAGTGCAGGACATGCAACAATGAGCTCAACCTACAGGAAGCCAGATTTCAGTTGAGTATCAGTAAAAACCTCCTGTTAAGGCAGTAGGACAGTGGAACCCATTATCTCAGGAGGTTTTGGGTGCTCCAACACTGGAGGCCTTCTAAAGAAATTTAGACAACCACCTGGCAGATAGCTTTTGATTTGTATTCCTACACTGAGCAGGGAGTTAGACTTGATGAGGCCCCTTCCAACTTCATGATTTTGTGATTCTATGAGTCCATCTCAGAGGTCCCCAACCTCTGAGCCAGACCAGGCTGCAGAGACAGACCTCCCCCCACCCCCGCACGCACTCCCCCCCACATAGCCTGTTTGCACCTGCGCGTGTGCCTGCGCCCATGTGAGCTCTCCCCATCCCTTCACACGTGTGTATGAATGCCCCCTGAGCGCCGTGCCACCCTTTGTGCATGCACATGAATGAGCACCCCCACTCCTTTGTGCATGCACATGAGTGCGCCCCGCATGCAAGAGCACCCATGCTCCTTCACACAAGCACAGGGGGGTGCCCCACCTTCCCCAGCTGGTCCAAGGGTCTAAAAAGGTTGGAGACCACTGGTCTAACTCCTTCAACTCTCCGTGCTAGATTTGAAAACACAAATTCAAATCTAAACCAATTCAGCATTTTAATTACTTCTTCCCGTTGTACTGGAGACAATGAAGCATCTAGGTTAACCCCTTCTGGATTAAAGGTGGGAGTACTAGTTATCTCCCAGCACTGTAAATCCTGATCCTCCTCACCGCTTTCTTTCACAATACACAATGTTTTCCCTGTAAAATATTGTTTAAACCTATTAGTATGACCACCTTAGTGCTTCCATCATTCTTTTGTATAACATCGTTTACATCATTCATTTTTGATGTGGTTTTAACCAGTACAGTCCATGCCAGTTGGAGACTGTTTCCTTTCACTGATGTTAGGAACTGCATCTCGTCTTTAAGTCCATGTAGTCTTTCTCTTGCTTTCTTATCGTACCAGTTCTTTTGTTTTCACTGTGCTTGTTGTAGATTCTTTCCAGCAGTTTTTAAAGCTGACCGTCGAGTATTTAACAGATTATCCGTATACATCAGTGATTCTCAAACTGGGGTTGTCAGATGTCCTTGGCTGCAGTCCCCAGAAGCCTTCATCACTTAGATGTGCTGGCCAGGTTTCTGGGAGTTGCAGTCCAAGAACATCTGGAGACCCAAGTTTTGAAAACCACTGATATATGTAACCACAGATTTAGGATCATTTTTTTATCCCTGCTCCCAATTCTGTCCTAAAAAATCAAGAGGTCCATGCACTCTCCAGTATAAGTCCTTATACTGAAGCAACTCAAAGGGGCAGAATCCTAAACTCTCAGTCTACCAGTCCATTTGTCTCCGGTTGGTAAGGGACAGATGAGAGATGTTTGATTCCACAAACTTGGCACAATCTTTACATTAATCTGAATGTAAAGTTCAAGCCAACTCAGTTGCAAATCTTACTCTGCACATAAGGCTCACTAGGGCATTAGCCACTGTACTTGTTTCTGTATTGCTTCAGGGAAAAAAATGTTCCCCTTGACAATTTGTCCAGTCTAGTCCGACTCTAGGCGGCGGTGCTCATCTCCGTTTCCAACCCATAGAGCTAGCATTTGTCCGCAGACAATCCTCCGTGGTCACATGGCTAGCGTGACTAGACACGGATTGCCATTTACCTTCCCACCGAGGTGGTACCTAT